TAAAAGCAAGCTTTTCTTTGTAAAAACTTCAATTGAATTTTAATAAAGTTAAAGGCATGGCCTCATCATTAATATTTTAAAAAAAAAATTATAATAATAAATAAGTATTACTAAGAAAAAAAGTAGCACGAACTTTCAATTACATTTTGTACCAAACACAATTTAGTATTGTGTCCAATACAAAATATAATTGAAAGTTTGTACTGCCTTTTTTCTTCATAAAAAGAGTTTCGTCTGATTGGCTTGTCTAGATAACTTATTTATATGCTTTAGAGTACTTTTTGAAAATGTAATGTTTCACTAATAAAAAATTGTTGCAAAAGTTATTTTTAACTTCGAAAAACACCTATATTTATTGTGAAAAATAATCAAAAAATAATTAACATTTACTTGAAACAAGTATTTCATTATTTATTACTATTACTATATATATTAACTATACAAGTACTAAATGTAAAAAAATAGTCAAAAAAAAAAATGATCCAGACATTTAAGGTAAATTTATATTTGAGAAAATTAATTGTATTTAAGTTTAAATTACTTCTTTTAATAATTCTATTACTTATTTATATTACTTTAATATTTAGTAGATTTAATATGGCTTTACAATATTATAGATAGAAATGTATCAATAATATACTGTAAATGAAAAATAGTAATGCAACGACTGTAATAACTGAAAAAATAAGATTATTTAAAAATTTATATAAATAAATAATAGAATTTCTTAAAAGTTTTTCTTTGATAAAAGATATTGTCTAATTGATAATATATTTTAAAGGTAGTAGTGTCTTTAACAAAGGCAGTAATAATTAAAATATGATTTCTACTCAATTATGTAATTAAATATAATTAATAAATAATAATTAATAAAAAATAGGATATAAGTTTCGCTATTATATAGTATAAAGTTTTGTCTATATTATGAATTTGTTTAATTAAATTATGTAATATTATTGGCTAATTATTATAGGAAATCACAAGTAGATCTATAAAACTTAGCTAATCAGATAAATGTCTTCCTATGACTTTTTCCTTAGTGGTATTCATTTTGAATTTACTAATTTCTCTTATCACTTATGATTGGTCCTACTAATTATTCACATATTGGAGTGCCTGTGTTATTAATCAATTTTATAGTTCTCCAATAGTAAAGTAGTAGAAGAAATTAGGGCATCTATTCATTTTGTACATATAATTGACCATATGCATATACTGTATATGTATATCAATCAAGATACTAAATATAAATATTATACGTTCAAATTCACATATATTTTTACACGATTCCTGCAACTATCATTTATGCATAAATGCATAATGCTATTTAATTGTAAATACTTTGGTAAATTGAATAATTAAATACTAAATTTGTAATGATAAGGTTTGTTAATCTGAAGTATCATTAGAAAAGCTTTTACATTTCTAATATACAACAAGGTCTAATTTATAAATGCATTGCATCTAAATCATAAAATTTTGCTAGTTCAAATACTTTTAAAGAAGTGCACATTTTTGTATCATAATCTAGCATATATTCATATGCTATTTAAGTTATGTGAAAAAAAAAATGGTTTAGATATCAACATGCATTTAAAATGTATAGCTTAATAATATAGTTGATATAATTTCTATCTGGCAGAATTAAAATGTAAAATTATCAATAATTCAGTTTTATTAGCTGTTAAGTTTGTCTTCACCCTTTTAACAATTTAATAAAATAACATATCACTAAAAAGTTGTATATTCTGTTTTCTGATTATTCTTGATATAATTCACAGATCCTAAATTATTATAATTAGCATTTTAACTAGCGATATAAACTAAACCTGACAGTTTGAGATTTCAAAGGTTTTTACTAGATTCAGCAATTATGTCATAACTGCATTGTAATCCAAATTTGTGTATCGCTAGCTAGAACCCAAATCATAAGTAGTATTGTCTAGTAATGTAAGAGAATTGTTTTCACAATTCCCTGCACTATCATATACACCATGCTTGTTTTGTTCTGTGCCATGTTTATTTTGTACATATAGTTGATTGGTTCTTGAGGTTTGCTATGAAAAAATTGTATATCCTATGATCAATAATAATATTCTGTATAGTACATATCGATTTTAAAACTATACTATACTGATCAGCTAAAATAGAATTCATAATCTTAATATTATAATGTGGGATCAGTATAGTATAATTTTTTTTGAATCAGCTTTTACTATACAGATCTAGTCAATTAAACCATATTGATTAGTATACCTTAGATATCCATAAAAATAATATGATGGTCCTAAAAACTTATCTGTATTATCAGTCTTTTCTGCAACAAAATCATACAAAGTTCTTACAAAAATGTGTATTTATAAGATAAGTTTGTCTCTATGTATCAAAAAAAGTTCAACTGCATTAATAAAAGATATAATCAGTCAAAGATATAATTAGTTATAAAATATCAAATTTATAAAAAACTCAACATAGTGATAGCAATAAGTAGGCACACATATACATGTATAAAAACATATATTCATATTTTGTGAATTATAGTACTCTTCATGCTAAATAGTGTAAATCTTCTTCTTGAATACTTGTTATATACAAATGTAATGTGCATTAATTGTGATATTTAATTTTTTATATGTAAAGAAATTTGCATCACACGGGTACACCTATGCCTAGAGGATTTGTTGTGCAAACATTCTTGTCATTCTGATATTTAATAATTATAAGCAATTTGAGTAATTATATATACCTCTGAAGTGCATTAAAAAAAATTAAAAAAAAAAAATTTGCAAATGTTTTTAGGTACTCCAAAATTCAATAAAAAATTAATATTCAAAAATCCCTCAAACCTATATGAAAACTTTTGCAATGCATATGCGTATTATTTGGCCATTTCTATAGGAACCCCATCTTCTAAAAAACAAGATATTTTTATAAAAGCTCAAGAAGGGTGGAAGACTATACGAAATTTGAATGAAGAAACTATACAAAATAAAATAAATAATTATTTACAAACACCTTTAAAACCTATTCAATATACTTCTTTTATGCCTACTTTAGTTATATCAAATAAAATTAGTTCCCTTATATCTATACTATCCACATCCTCATTTTCTACAATAGAATCTAAAAAACTGCACTATAATGCAACTGCTTAAAAAAATTCTTTAGCTAAACAAGAATGTATTGAAAAACAGCTTAATAAATTAAATGAGTTGTATAATATTGCACATGATCCTAAATGATGTCACGATTTTTTAATTCAAATCAATGAAACTAAACAAGAAATTGAAGCTGAAAAAAAAAGAGGCAAAAATTAAAAAAACATGCTGCTGCACAAGTCAAAAGTCAAGCAAAAAAACGTGAAGCTTTAAAAACCAGAAGAGAAGCTATTAGATACGATTCACTTGGGCATCCCTTTTTTCTTCTTCTAAATCCTGATCTTCCTGAGCAGATGCATTCATATATCAAGTTTGGTATTGCTGCCAAAAAAAGGTGAAAAGAAATTATTAAAGTATGCACTATTTCTTATTTAAAAAAAGAAATGGAAGAAAAATATCAAATTTATATATTATGCACCTGTTTATATATATATACACTTGGCTTAGAAAAATTAATTCTTCGAATGCCAAAAGACACCACCATCCTATGGCTATTCAGGTAAACTCTGTATCTAGAAATGAAATGCCTGAACATATAG